GCTACTTCTTCTGGAATGTTACTTCCTTGGTTTATGTTGCAATTCTGGGAGACAATACCCTTTTCACAGCATGTTCTATGCATTTTAGTGTTTGTTGGTTTTGTTTTTTTCTATTGCAAGCTACTTTTCCCAGACAGCCCTGTCTCCATTTTGCTGTCTGACCAAAGTAAAACTTCCCCATGTTAGTTATAACCCATCACCTTCAGTCAGCACCCTTAAGCCCGTCAGCTAGCAGCACAGCATACCTGGTTTAAGGTCATAGTGTATGATGGGAGGTTTGATTTCATTTAAGTATTTTAAAGCGTTCACAATCTGCATGATAATGGATCGCGCCTCTTTCTCCGACATTAACTTGTGCTGTTTCAGGTAGAAGTCCAGATCATTTCCTTCACAGTATTCTAACACTGTACAAAACCTGAAGGCAGAAGAGTAGTTGTTGTAATTAAGGCACCTGATAGAAACCAGAACACTTTGTTATCGCTCGCCTGCAAGACTCTCTTATTTGGTCAATATATTAAAAGTCCTCCAGCCTATTAATCCCTCTTACCAGGAGCACAGTCCTCAATGCTCAATAGTCCAAAGATCAGAGATCCCCCATTAAGTGCTAGATCCAGAAAGCAGAAAGCTGTATCAGCCAGGACATTTGCCCAGGCCAAAGAACAGGATTTATGAGTAAAACACCCCATCTGACATAATAGGGCACACTGGTTTGTCAGGTAGTGTCTCTAGAAATATATGCTGAAACTGCCTCAGACACCTCTGCAGTACAGCCTGTAACATTGGTGTGAACATTTTCTGCACTCTCCTGAAAAGTTTAAAGAGATCAAATACTTTTCTCTCTAGTGAATGGGTCAAACCAAGTCAAAGGAAACAGCAACATAACTTACGAGTCAGTATCCAGCGAAAAGTAGTCGTATAGCTTAACTATCCGAGGATGATCCAGTTCTTTGTGAATTCTGTACTCTCTACACGCATGTCTGAAAATAGGAAAGTCTGAGCATTAGTCATACGAGTGACTTAATTCTAAGTTCTGCAGATAGCGAACCCAGACACAGCACACAGCAGTCCAACCTCAAGCAAACCCATGCACATTATTCAGGGAGCTGAAGAAAAGGCAAGCAAACAAGGAACTACGCAGAACAGCTCTTGAGAACCGCAGAACCCGACTGCATCTCAAATGCTGGCAATACTACAAAATAACTAATCTTGATTAATGGTACTGCTTGCCAAAATAGAATAACCTCATAATAAATCGTTAAGGGATCCAAGACAGCTGAATGTAAAAATCAGCAAGTTCTAGAAAAATCCCACGATGCTCAACAGCCCAGCTTCCAGGCTTCAAATACAGTTTAGTTTGTCCCGGTGACTTTCTGAGGAATTAAGATCATAGCTTTATCTCTGAAGATCTGTTGAGAAGGCCTGGCTGCCATTCTGTGGAGCTTATTTAATCCATGGCATCAAGGAGTACGTGTTACCAGCACCAAAAGGGCTCCTGTACTTTCCTTCTAGGCCATGACATATATACAGTCCTAATCACCTGTCAAAGGATTAAGTATTCTAGGAAACAAAAGGAAGGGGAAGGCTTTCAGGGAGCACAACCTGCAAGACAGGCATGAACAACTGTTACCTACAAGAGCAGAGCTTAAACATTTTAGGGAGGAGAAGACACTTAAAACACTTTCTTCACTGGGTACTAGTAGTGCTTTAAAATCTTGTGCTGTAGTGCTTACACCAAACCAACACAGGAGGAGCTTGGAAACCCGGCTGTCTGCTTTAGAGCCTTACTTACTTGTGATAATTTTCTTTCTTCTCATCTCTCCAGTTTTTATTTAACTGGTGTATCTTCACAGCTACGTATCTCTGTTCTGTTAAATCAAATGCCTGCAGAGAAAAAAGAGCTGAGAATCAGTAGGAATCACAACTTCAAGTTAATACTGCAAAAGCAGACAAGCTCTAACAAACCAATATCCCCACCCAGGAAATAAGCATTACAACATACTGAGTGAAGAGCAAATCCACATTTTGATGTAATTAGTTTCACTAATGAAACCAAGCAACTCCAAAAACAATTGAATATTCTGTGCTTTGATCTGACCTTCCCCCGGGGTCTAACTAACGCTGCAATTATTCTGACATTTTACCACCAGAGCTACAATGGGACCAGAAAGGCCAACTTACCAAAATATAGACAGCTAACCACACTGGGAAAGACCCTGCCATCACCTTCCCAAGCCACCTAAACTCATTTGGTATCTCAGCTCTCCCTCTTGGAGCATAATGTTTCAGCTTATTTAGAAGCTAGAGAATTCAACTGCAGAACCGTGCAAATCGTGTTGTACTTTTCCCTCCAGTTTCTTGCTATTTAGGCAATCTTCAAAGAACAGACCACTGCAACTGTGCTCCTAGCGAAACGCAGTCACCTTTTACTTTGTCTGAGAACAGCAACAACAGATAATTCATAGGATGGGGCAAAATCTTATTGTGAGCAGACAAGGATAATCCGTGTCCACCTCAAATGTTGTATGTTTAACTCCTAATGCTGCATAGATTGGCCAAGACCCTGGAGAAGAAGGGCTGAACATTTGTCTTAATAACACAGTTAGAACGCTCCAGCGCAGTCAGGTAGGAAGCATTTATTCCATCCTGCTTTCATCTGTTGAGCCAAGGCTTTCTATCTGGTCAGCAAAGCCTCCAAAGAGCAACTGAAGGTACTAACACACTTTTTTCACTACCTGAGCAGTCCAGTCTCCCTGGTTTAGATATCTGTTGTTGTACTGCCTCAAAATAATCAGTCACCATGAAGTTTCCAGTACTTGCATTGGCTTAGTTACTTTCATTCTAGCCAAATTCAACACCAGTTAAGAACTACTGAGCACAGAGGGGGAATATTTAGAACTGGAAAGGCTTTAAGCAGAAGAGTCAAATAGCAAGCACCAAATGATCACGGGACTTGGCCATGCAAGAGAGCTGACACACAAGGAATCCTCAATTCCAAGGAAGTCCCAGGACTACACCATACACACCACATCTACTATTTCAGAGCGTAAAATGAAGACACAAGGAAAAAAGCCTTCTACCCCCCTGTTCGGGCTTGCTATGCCATAGTCAATAAAACTTCACTACTCAAGGTATTGAAGAAATGAATGGTTTGCTTCTCTGTCTTGACAAAACTTGAAGACATGGTGCAAAGTTTTCTTGAAGCATATTTGCAGGAAATTCATCCTTTGAGGGCAAGGGTAGAATCTAAAAATCTCAAGCCAATGCGACATGTGCTTTGCCCTCCCTTCTTCTCTCCACAAACACAGGCACCATTGTGAAAACAAGCGTAAAAATTCTGCTTACTGCAATATTCCACTGCAGATTCAGTTTACACCACAGAGCGTCACTTCAAATTTACCTTATATACTTCACTGAAGCCGCCTCTACCCAGAAGATGTAGCAACAAATATCTATCATTTAGCGTTGGATGGTCTTTAAATCTGCCAAAAAAGATGCAGTTTAAGAACACTGACAGAAATAAGGCAATCTACTGCACGACAAATTACAGTTACTACAGAGCTTAGAAACAACACTTTCACATTAAGCCGGAAAAATAGTAAAACTGTGTAAAAAACCTGACAGGTTTGATACTATTTGATCACGTTGCACTGATGAAAGATTACGCAATGAGCTTGGAAGCCTTTGTCTTGCATGAACTTCAAGTTATATCACTGCGCCACCCCCTCAATCAAGTGATGTATTAAGTTGTAACCCCAATTTTGAAAAGATGAACTGTTTCCCATTATGAAGAAGACAAATAAAAAAATGTTATACATTCTGGTCCCTGAATCCAATGTGCTTACTGTGAATTATCTTCATTGTGTATCCTTTTCAATTCCCTGATATGTAGATTTCTAACCCTCTCTAGCCGTTCCAACTCTGCCTGGATCTCTGCTTCTTCCTGCGAAAGGGAAAAAAAAAAAAAAAAGGAAACACAATATGATGTAAGATAGTGCAGTTAGAATTTCTGACCAATTTAGGGCAACTCCACTGGTAAATAACTTGTCTGGGAGATTAGAAAGATGGTCATAGCCAGCTAAGAGTCAGGTGGAAGGTGACAGGAATGAAAACTGACTGGGCAGTTTCGTTTACACCTACACACAGGCAGGAGCAGACATATCTTTACGCCTTCTTGTTTTTAACGTTTTCTGTAAATAAGAGGCGGTGTTGTTCTGGTTCTGCTCCTTCCCTCATCGCTATGCAGCTGCTTTTGTGGGAACTCAGCCTCTGCTGAGGACAGCCCTCAGAAGTAAAGAACAGGAAAGTCATGATGCAAGATGGGACAGCACCTAGAAAGGATGGAGAATGCGAAAGGACAATATTGGCTCCTACTAGTGGTGAGTGGTAGAACAGGTCAGAGTGTATCTGAGTGTTCTGATACACTGTTTGTAGAGTTGGAAGTTCCAGTGCCCTCCAACATGACACTAGAATTTGCATCACTGCAGAGAGCGTTGCAAACCTCAACCAAAACGTGCGCCTTGCGCAGAATTATTCGGTCCATGTGACTCAAGGGACACCGTTACCCATTTGTCTTGTGACTCTGTTCCTTCCCTTCTCAAACTTGTTCTATTTTTAGATGTAAAAAATGAGCCGGTTTCCAAAAGCGGAGAAGGATAAGCACAGCTTCAGACAATGCCACGATTCCAGAACATGACTTCATTTTCCATTAGGGTTCGTTTCTGAACGGGTTCCTCTGTTCCAGGCTGGCACACTCCATGCCACCAGCAACGCACCCGCAATAAACCCACCCCAGCAACGCGGAAGCTGCAGGGCAAACAACGCCTTTCGCAGCCTCCTGCCTGTATCGCTCATCTTTGCTCACAGGTCAAAAAAACCCCACAATGGGCAGAGCGCCAGCAGATTCCATGTGTGCATTAACTTTCCCTTACCGCCGAAAATAATGAGAAGTACCGGAGCATTAACGAGGCCTTGCATTCAACTTGTGTGTCAAGGTTACAGGAAAAAAAAAAATCCCCAAAACTAAGTGCAGAGCTCAGGCATCACCTGAGGACAGAAAATTTGCAAGCTTCCTCTTTTGTTCCATATGGGAAAGAAAACTCTCAGGCCTTAGCAGAGATTACAGCTAACCAGGAAGTGGCAGAAGGTATCTGGTTTTTTTTTCAATATTTTATCTGTTGAAGTGTCCCAGAAGTGTTATTTATAGGTTATTGCAATCACTTCAAAGGTAATCAACAGCTTATCTAAGATTTTATTGGACTGTTACTGATAATGCTGGTTACTTGGTATTGCAAAGAAAAGGAAAAGTCAATGATGGTTGAGGTTCTTGTTGTGTTCTTTTCATTTTCTTTCCTTGGTCCATATTCCTTCATGTTACCCAAAATTAGACACACACAGAGCCCAGCACTAGACAGGTCATACTGACAGAATTAGATGCATCAAAACAGTGGAACTCCCTTAACTCTAAGGACACAGAAATCTATTTACTGAAGCAAAGATCTTTCCTGAATACCACTGCCTTGGGAAAAATTATTACAAAATCCTGGCCACCCCTTTGAAGCAACAAAACCCTCTGAATTATCGGAGAAACAGCAGTGATCTCTGCAGAGAGATGCTATTTGTTCACAGAACACTGAATCAAAAACCTACCTAAAAAACCCCCAACCCCTTTTCTGCAATTAGTTCTTACCTTTTTAAGGTGACCTAGTCGGAGTTTGAAGATTTCTTCCTGTTCATGGTATTCTGCTAGCGTTAACCTGCAGAGAAGAGGCAGATCCAATGCATCAGGTTTCAACACAGAGCATCTCAACAGCCAGTAGGAAATTTTTTAGGTAAACTCTGCAATCTGTTTTTTCAAAACAATCAATCTCAAGAAGACCAAAAGCTTAAATCTTGATAAAGCACATATTAATTTCAAAACTCCCTAATAATGCCTATTTAGATTAATGACTGATTTTTAATAGAGCAAGCTAAACAACAATCTGAAGATGGAACACTGAAGCACAAGTATTCCATACTTTTTCACTTAAAATTTGCTTTACTGATTCATTTTCAATTTTTTATTTGCAACAAAAGCTGGATAACTCAACCCAGCTATTCACTCCAGGACTAGCAGCATACCTGGTGACAGAACCACTGCAAACATAGCAACAGCCTGGCATTCAGGACTTTATCCTGCTTCAGGCTCTCTGGGAAGTGGCTTCCAGAGAAACCTGGGGACATTTACTTCACCTTACCACACCTTTGAACCGATGTGTACTAAGGAGAAGCAACGGGATAAGGGGAATGATTCTCATTTCACTGATGGTAAATGATGTGCAAAATTTCCACCACAGGTGAACGGGCCAAATAAAAAAGTTTCATAATGTTTTCAATGTCTTTTATAGCCAAATCATGCCATGCAGGACAGAGGCAAAGCACAGCCTTACACCAGAAGAACGACAGAACTCATCACTTGTGAATTGTAATTATGTGCTGAGATCTTTAAGGGTAAAAAAAATGAATTGCTGCATTAATTTTCTCCCTACTACCTACAAGGAGTTTGATAAAAGCATCATGCATGTGAACATAAAGCTGTGAAGGACTTATCAACTGCACCCATTTACTTTATGAACAAGATATGCACGTGACAGCACATAAGTATCTTTTTTGAGCCTGGATTGTGTTCAAAGCTTAGCTGAGGAGGATTCCTGTTGCAGCAGTTACGCTCAGCACAGTACTTGGTACAAAGGTTACTGTATGAGGTCTCCACAGCATCGACACCGCAACTAATTCCAAGAGGAGATTGAGTCCGATGTCTGTGTGGGGCTGTGGGACCTCGGCTCACCGTTGTGTAAACTGAGAGGAGGTAACATTCAGTTGATTTAGCGCTCATCTTGAAACGCCCCACAGTTGAAATAAGTGCTAAAGTAGTTGTTAGTTGATGAATTTAAAGCAAAACTCACAAGCCAAGCTCCCTTTGAGACAATCTCGACCATAAGGAACCGCTTATTGCAAACTACAGATACATACGAATCACAGCCAGTACCACAAATGTTTTCATGTTGCCTCATTTCACATAAAAGGACATTATTCACCCTGCCCTTCCCCTGCCAGCCTGAATTTTAATGAGATTCAGCTAATCTAAAAGCCCATCCACAAAGTTTAGGTCTCGGGTTTGTGTTGCTGTATAAGGAATGAAGACAATTGAATAAACCAGCTACAAGCTCTCCGCATATTCTTGTGCACAAATGAAACACAGGGCTAAACACCAACCCTCTACTCATTAAGCAAGAGACATAATGAGTACCACCAGGCTCACGTTGCCCAAAATAGCTGCCTGTTAGCAGCAAGCGTTACAAAAACCGGGGGGACTCTAAGACAAACACTGCCCTGTTTCGCAGAAACATGCTTGAAATACCCTACTTCCAGTGCAGCTGACGACTTTAAGGTTGCCCAAGCTGCCTTAACAAACCTCAAAAAGCCCCAGCAGATTAATCTTCCTCAATGAAAATCTTTTTCTCATTCACAGGCTAGAAAGTACTCTGAGAAGAGCACATGTTTAAATTTGCATCATGGGACCTTCCTCTCCTTTTTAAAGCACAGGCAACAACCATGAACCAAAGAGGAACCAAAAATCAAATGAAGGGATTTGGCTGCCTGCTTCTCATTCAGCTTTCAGAAACATTATCTATTCAATTTGCCTGAAAGACAGCCTCTGGAAGGATTCCACAACAAAAAAAAAAGCCTCCAAAAAACCAGAAAATTTTGTACCTGATACACATCGGTCCAATAAATGCATTTACAGGATAATTAATGATTAAGCAAGTAGTCAGTCGGTACAGTCACTTCAGCTGACTTGCAAAAACAAAGTTTTCATAAGCTAAAACACTCCATGTGAACCACACCCATACAGCAGCCTGCAGTTTTTATCAAGAACGCCACAAGAAGCTCTTCTAAACCACAAAGATAAAACCCTGAAATACATCAGTGAGGAATGATAAACCAGTGAGAAACACAAAGAAAAAGACCCGGCAGCACAACAAAGGTTTATCGGCAAACCCAGGTAAAGCTCGATTATGTCAAGGCAGGCTCAAAACTCAGGCAGAAGTTCACTAGGTGTCACAGATATTATCATAATTTCCAGGTACATCAAGACCTGTGTCTGCAGAACAAGCCACTCCACAGCTGCACCAGCCTGTGGGGAAAAAAACCATCCCCACAGAAACGGGGGAAGCGTCATCCTGTCCCTTAGAAATGAAAGGTCACCACAACCAACAGCAACGCTTCGAAATATCCACGCACGGATACTCAACTCACTTCTCCAAACTCAAATGCTGCGATGCAAAAGGACGGCTTTGAAACTTGATTTAGATCTTTTTAAGCTTGCTTGGCCAGAAGCAGGGGTAAAGGTCTCTAGTCACTGCTCTCCAACACGACAGACCTGCAGGCACCTACCTGGGGACACCGCTCTGGCTGCTGAGAGCACTCTGGCTATCACGAGTCACCCAGCCCTGTGCCATCTCTGCTGGGAATGCAAAACGGCAGCGGAACCTTGATGCTTCACATGGATTTTTAAAGATCAAGGCTAAGAATTCAAAGGGCTGCAGGAATTTTGAGGTCAAGTCATGTCCAGAAGATTTAATAGCGTAAAAAGAAAAATGTCACTGGGAATTATGGTATTAGCCAACAGCAACAAAATTAGAACTGTAAAAGAAACTGGTAGAAGGTAAGGCCAAGTCTCCAACTTAACGTATTTCCAATTCACAAAAAATAACGTTCTAAATTTCTTGTGAGACACAGTTTTCCTGTCTAAGAACCAGGACTCTCAGAGTAGCACTTTGGCTACCTCGCCATTTCCCCGACTCGAGTGTCTGCAAAGGACAGCTTTGGAGATACAGGTCAACGCTTAATGCCCTGGCTTTACAGAAAACATCTTTTTATTTCAGCATACCAAATTCATTGTTTGAAAAGCCTCACCAGAAAGTACATGGAAATAAAGGCTTCTAAATGGGCATTTTGGTTTTCCTTAAAAAAAAAAAAAAAAAAGAAAAAAAAAGCACCACATACCATACAGCAACACTGAAATAAATTCTGAAGTTGCAACACTTAAACGCTGCTTTTCAAACTTGACGCAACAAGAATAAGTTACTGCATTCAAAAAAAAAAAAAAGAAAAAAAGCTAAGCTCACACAAAGTCTGGACTCAGCAACGATCCCTGTTTTACTCCAATGAAAACTATTTAGAACTGCAGCCAGATGTTGCTGAATGCCAGGCTAATTCCACACTATTCATTTGTGCATGGAGTGATGCCTGGAGGCAAGGGCAAGATTCCGTTTCCCACTGGATATTTTGTGCTCCGCTCAAAGCACGCAGCTTTGCAGCGCACCAAGAAGGCCACGTAACCTACGTTTCGTTTTCTGCTCCGTTGGTCTTGTTCTTGCGCTGTTTCTGCTCAGTGCTTGCTGGAGGGGTCTGTCCCATTGCAGGTGGCTTCCGTTTTGCTAACATTTTTCTTTGCCTTTCGATTTCTTCCCGCTGGGAATTTATCCTTTCCTGTTGCCTGGAACGAAGGGAGTAGAAGAAAAACCCCGTGAAGCAGCTAACTAATGGTTCTCTTCAGCATCTGTTCTTAACAAATCGGAGCAATGAACTTCAAATCAGTTGTGCTTGTACAAAATATTTTTGTACAGAAAAGGGGGATGTGCCAAACATTATGACTCCGATTTTTAAAGGTATTTTTACATAAGAGGGGATTATTTTCCTGGCCCACAGAAACCCTTTGGTAAGTGAAAGGTTTTATTCATGCAGAGGAGATCCAAAACCAAGGAGTTGCTAACCTCACGGAAAACCCAGGGATCCATGGTAAGTCACTAACTTTCCACACACTTTTTCCTAGAAGGCTCTGTTCTAAATCTCAGACTTTCCTGTTAAAACCATTCCTGAAGTCTGGCACTGTCTGAGAAAGTATCCTTATACTTTAGGGGTTCGGTTAAACTATCATCAGTTCTCTGAAATACAACCAACACCATTCCCAATTTCACTAAAAACAGTCTTTCCTCCAATATCAGAAGACCAGCTTAAAATATTTTACAGTCATAAAAGCACTCTTGAAATTTCAAGTCTAAATGACTTGAGCATTCACATACTTAATTCACTTTTAGAAGAGACTGAGAGTGCATCTTACAGCACAAACTAAGGGAGAATTATAAAATCCTTAATCTGTGCCTACCAAGAGTTGCACCTCCCTATCAAACTACAGAGAAACGATATGAATTTAAAGGATCGCACACAGCTCTCTCTAATGCAATTAATTTGCCAAGTCCTACTTAAAGGTCTAGGCCAGGTGGGAATTGACTGGATATTTCCATTAACTTCCTGCATAAAAGGGTCTCTGATCTTCCTTTCCAGGTTTCTGCAGCCCCTTTGATCACTGTTACCAGAAGGCAAAAAAAAAAGTTAAATAGTATGGATTTTTTTTCTTTTAAGCTTCTCTACTTTCTACTTTAAAAAAAAAAAAGGCAGCTAATTAGCCTTCCTTGACTAATATATGCAAGTATGCAAATCAAACTGATTGACTCACGATACATGTGTGAATTTGGTCCACCCTTCCACCCTAAGCCAGGGAGGTGCACTGTGACTACCCAGCAGGGCAGCCTGCTGCTTTCCAGCCCAGAGGCCAACTCAAACAATTTGATTCCAGGTCAAGTCTCTGGAGGTTGAAGTGGAAGCATATTTCTCACTTCAATGCAAAAATGTTCCCCATTGTCAGTAGCTGAGTTCCTATCTGATCCTTTCATGCATCAGTCACACCATTCTCACTTCTTGACATGCAAGACATCACACACAACTGGTTAGTTTTTCCGTCTCTGCCTCTGGAGTTAAAGACAACTCTGTCTGTCCTCACTTGATGAGGTTCTGGAAGGCATAGCCATCTGTCCACTGCTCCGTGAAAGACGCCCCGTGCCGCACCGTAGTGAAGTGACCTAGCCTCAATCGATCCTGCATGCTCTTATCTCTGCATGCCATCTTCTCCTGCTTCGACTGAAAACAGAAACAAAACACACATAGAAATATAAGCAATAAATTAGCAGCCAAGAGCTGGGCCATGTTTTAAATCACTACCAATTCTTACAACTTCCCATTGTTTCAGTACTGCTTGTCTGAAACGTAGCTGAAAATCATTGATCAAATTATTTCTGGTGCTTTACGCTGGCCTGACAAGGATTTATTTGATTTATTTGCCTCCTTTCTGACATTTCACCTCTCCTTGCCCATTATTGGTCAGGCAGCTCACGTATTCTGTGATCAGCTGAAATCAGCCTAGGACTAAAACTATCCTTTTGTATCAGCAGCTTAGCTAGACTCCAGATGCATCTCTGCTCAGCCTCTTATTCACTCAAACAGGAGACAAAGGAGGAAAATGCACCCCGAATCACTGTTAAAACTAAGATACAGGGATCAGCCAGCTCAGTCCCAGAGTCACACCACTCCCAGAAGTGACACAATCTGAGTTAGGTCACCAACACACATAAAAGCCGGCGGTGGGATCTGTCACTGGGCGTTTCTGGTAGGTGAGAGGAAATTTCCAAGGCCCAAGATGAGAGCAGCAAAGTTTCAGTCAGTGAGGATTAAAGACGAACCAGCACAGCTGGAGCTACACACCACCCGTCTGAGTGCCCTAACACCTAGCCCAGAGGTACAAATCCTCCCAGAAAGGGAAGCCCCATTCAGCCAAGGACAATCAGCTCTGTGACAAAATCGGCTCAAACAGACTGCACGTCCTGGCCAGCACCCTGGTAGTTTTGCCCATCCAGTGCTCACAAACAATAGATGTAATTAGCCAACAGGTGAAAGAGCAATTAAACCCCCACATCGTTTAACCATTGGGAAATCTGGAAATCTTTCAATCCTGAAGCAGGCTGGATGCTGGTAAACAGCAACCTGGCACTTTCCCCGGTGTCTTTAATGTGTTGTTTTGAGTTTTACACAAAGCAACGATCTCCAGCTTCGCCATTTGAAAGAAAGAAAGGTCTATATCACTTGTCCATGTCACAGAGCACATTTAACAACTTCACTGCACAATGGGATATCGCTCCTGTATTGCCAGAGCTGGACAATGTTGCTTTTCAGGTGAGTTTCCATTTCAAGTAATGCCTCCTGCATTTACAGCTCTGACTATTTCACTTAAGCAGCAGAGATCGCTCTTTGAGACTGTGAAAAGTAACCAAACCGAAACATTCTGAACAAGTTCAGTCCTAGGATTATGTTCCTATTTGCAGAAAAATAATTCAAGACAGAGCTCCAGTTTGCCTTCCATCACTCCAAAGACGACAGGGAAGTTTTCAAGGACGTGAACTGTGACTGCAGAGATGTGGAAAGTCCTCTGCTCACCTTTTCTATCAGAAGCTTCTTGCTCATCGTTACACATCTATTCAACCGCTCCTTGTACTTCTCCAGCATCTTTTGCTGTTCATCTATCTGCCGTCTCAAATCGCAGTTGGCCTAGAAGTGAACAGAGAAGAAACGCCTTTAACTTTAAACCACTCAAAGTGCCAAACTAAGCATCACCTAGGAGGAAGTTTTTCCAGCTAGTTCTAGGCATCAGATTAAAGAAAGCAAACCGGCAGGGCAAGAAAAAAAGACTAGGCTCCTCTTGGCAAAATATCCAAGTCAAGTTTTTCCGTTTTTAACCTGCTCAAATCTTAATGCTCATCTAGAACTAGCTGTCATCCTGGTTTACAAATAAGGAACTAAGGTACAGAGTGACTAAACACAAGCACAAAGAACTTTAAATTTTTTAAAGAAAACATTAAAGACCTTGCCACTGCTACCAAGTCTCAAAATAGCTTAGTCATGCCTGGACTATCCTCCCTCTTTATAGTCACAATACTGGCAGAGGAAAAGGATGGGGTACCTCCCTTCGCACTTCCAATTAAATTCTTGTTCAAGTTACTATCTGTCAGCCCCGCTATACACGCTGCTCCCAGCAACAGGGGGACCAGTGGGTTTTTAACATCACTGTGGCATGCAGCAGGATTTTACATTCAACCATTTTCATTGATAAGAAGTTAAATTTAACCGTCTCCCTTCCTTCTGGCTTCTGACTAAACAGGGAATAGTAAAAAAAACAAACAAACAAACAAACCAACAACCCTATCCAGTGCTCCATCGATTGTTTTCCACAAACCCACCTGTGCCTCTGTGTATGGTTCTACCTTTAGGTACTGACACCAGACACACTCAAACACAGAGTCTTCCCTCTTCTCCCTTTAATGTGTTTTCTAATCCTTTTCAGCACAAGAGATGCCTCTTCAGCTGATGAAAGCTAAATCAATTAAACTCCTCCATTAAGACAAGAACTTTGATTTAGAGCTATTTATCTTCTACTGAAGAATACTAATGGGTTAAGAGAAGCTTTATTCTTTAGGTTTGACCAAAAGATGTTCTCCTCACCTCTACACATGTCACTGGCTCTCATGTGTGAGCATTTCGCAATACATCCTCCCAGTCTACTGAACATGTTACTAAACAAAAAGCAGAGTCAGCTGCTCATTATGCAGAAGATGGGAATAATTCTGAAGAGAAACATGTTAGGTTAGCTAGCAAAATACACAGAAAGTGTGCAACAGAAGGCCAGCAACACTGTGAGGACACAAACACCTGAGCTACAATAACTCTCCACTACACAGCCACCGCTACACTACTTGTGGATTTGAGCAGGCCCAGAGAGAGAATCCACATACTAGACAATTATCTTGCAAGTAAGAGATGACTGAATTGGTTTTACCTTGCGAGTGTTGGTTCTACAACCGATATACAAAATCCTGCTCCGCAGCCTAGCTGGCACATGCATTCTAGGTGTTTTTAAATAGCAGCTTTTAGAAGAGTTGTCCCAAATCAAATACTTACTCTTAATAAGTCATCTATCCTCCCCTCCTTCTTCTCCAAGTCAGAGTTCTTACTGTTTTCTAGTGCAGATATTTTTTCCATTGTGAGGTCAGACTGTAGGGAAACCATAAACCACATTTAAGAAAAACAGATGATATTTCAGATAGTCAGCACATAATACTATAGAGTAACCCCCTCTGATCCGAACAGTTAGATCTAAGAAGAAGGAACTGATCTCCTGCATCCGAAACAATCGGAGGACGAATTTTCTCGGTTCTTAATTTTCTTACTGCCCGGTGGGCTTCTCCAGTGCATGAGGCTCAGTCAGTGAGGACAAAGCTGCTCTGGAGAACACAAACTGGCAACAATATCCTCTGTGTCCTGCAAATTTTGTTCTTATAGTTGAGTTCTGCCCACTCCTTGGTGGTCTCTGACACTCGTTTTCCTTTTCTGTACTGCAGCATAGCTTGTACAGAAACAAAGCGTAGGGAAAAATAACACCAAGTGCTAAGCCTCTGCTGGAACAACAAATTTAGGAGATCTCTCATGGGAACAGACAAGAACCTGCTAGACAGAAGATAATATGTGTGGGTTCTAAGGTGGTCTTGACAGAAAACACTGGCCTTCATTTTAAAATATTATAACAGATTGACAGCAGGAAAAAAATTGTGTCTGACAAACTGACGTATTAACGCCCACTAGGGACAGGAGCTTTATAGTTCTTGAGTGAAACCTATCTGGAAAGTTTTACGGGGTGCGGCACATCTCAAATACCTTCACCAATGACGTGAGAGTTATACACAGGAACAGAAGACAAAAGACATACACTATATTCTACAGCAGTAGGAATATTTCAGACTCAGCACTTTGATTAATGGATGGGGAAAAGAATGGGAAGAAGTCAGTATGTACAAGAACACAGCATCTAAAATAGCCAAGTCAACACAAGGGCATCTCCCTCCACGACTGCACACACAGCTTTCACATACAAGGCTAGCAAACAACTGTCCTGCTTCTGACAAGAGTTAGCAGAGACTTACCTGTGGAGTTGTTATATAACTGCTCTCCAAATTTCAGGCTTGCCTGGAAGCTAACACCGTGAAGTGAGAGACAAACTTGGCCGACTGTTGCTTCTCTACATAGGCCCAGCACGTGAAAGATCACAAAGAACACCTGCCAGCATTGCACATCAAGCAAGATGAGCCTAAAAGCCCAAAAGACGAGGCCCAGGCAGGTCACCTCACTTCTGCCTTAACTTGGTTTATGCTTCCTGACAGCCTGCAGGAAGCATGTACAGCAAAAGTATTTGTCACTGCAGAACGAGAAGGCTGTCTGTGAAAACCTAGGCTGCACCCACTCAGCCAGGCAGCAGAAAGTTTCTTTAGTAAGTGGCTGTTGTCTCATTTTGCCAAACGCAGACATGCTTGCACTGTGTCAGCTGAAGTCACAGGACACATGCTCTTACGTGTGACTTCATCTCAACTCACCTTGCCTCAGAGCATTTGTAGGGCCCTTGCTCTGACTGAAAATGCTAAGAAAACCACGCTCATGCTGACTTGCTTTTGTCATTGGCAGAAGTGATTCAAACTGGAAATCGCTGAAGATTTATTTTTTTTTTAACCTCACCAAATCCAAACAAGTTTGGAAGCGAAAAGCAAGAACACACACATGTCCTCATCATGCAGCCAAGCATCTCCCTGGATTCTTTGCCTTAAGTGTACGCTAAGCCGAGACCTCTGGAGAATATCACGAAGCTGAGCACTGGCAGAAAGCACGCTCACATAATGTTTTGCCCTTTTCAAAGAAGATGGACCTCGTGGGTATGTCTGGCGCGCTCCAGATGCGACCTCTATTTTAAGCATGGGTATTGGGACAGCAAAGATTGAAAGGTATCTCTGGCAGGTTCTCGAGTTATGGCATCATTCTCAGACAAGAATTCTCCATGCACTAGCAAGAGACAGAGATCTTCACAGACCAGCATTTTAACAACACAGACAACAAATGGGACCCTCGTGACACAACAGAGCTCAGAGGCTTAAGCTAGCAAGTATCTACAGAGGTAGAATTGCGGTTCTTCATGCACAAAGAACTTGTACCACCTGCTGGGGAAATGGAGAATGAACTCCCCCAGCAGTAACATCATCTCTGACAGACTGATGTGATAAAATGATTGACACAAAGCTGATTGTTTAAAAATCACTCAAGGGAAGGGCCAATCACAGAGAAATCCGAGATGAAAATCCAAAGAAGACTAAAAGCAGGCTTGAAGAAGACATAAGCAAGGTGCATTGCAGATAAAGCCGAACATCCTTATAAGCAACAGAAGAAGATGACGCAGCTAAAAGTAAATCTTGCCATAAAGCCACGAGAAGAATCTTAACAATTTAAAAGCCACTGGAAAGACAGCAGTACAGTTAAAAGAACTACTCTGCTTCTTGACTACAGGTCAGGGAAGCTGCTGAGAAGCCCTGTCAGGAACACATCACGTTCCACCTTGACAGGACAAACTACTCCATGGGTGCACTCTGTGGAGGTCAAAGAACTTCCAGCTGGACTGTGGGTATTGGTACTGTGAGCAGTGTGGATGCACCCATGGCCCTGCGCTTGAATAGAGGCATTCACAACTATCACTCGGGTTTCCTTCACGTCTTCGCTTACAGAGAGAGAAAGAACATTCAGGATACAACAGAACCGAAACAGAGCTAAGGTGTTCCTCTCCCAAGCACATTTGCAAACAGCTGAAGAACTGCTCAACGTATTGACACAGAAAAGCATGAGTAACAGACTGGGCAGCAACTGAAAGCATCCTTTACAGGATAAGGAACAAAATTCAGAGCGATTCACTTCAATCAGTAGTTACAGACTGAGTTGGGACTACTGGCGCTTTCCACTGGAAACATTACGCCTACTACGAGTGGCGCACTCTGGCACGGAAGACAAGCTGCATCAAGCTTCAATCTTATATCCAAGAGATGTATCGGCTAAGTGAGCTATACCTGTGACTGTTTGTGCTGGATGGAAATCTGTTTTTGGGAAGTGCAGGAATGCTCAGTGTTCCCTGATCCGGTAGAAGATGGGCTGCCTTGCTGGGCCTGTAAAAGAAAGTTAGTGCATTGTTATATGCTCCTCAGCACGACCACTAGTGCCCATGCAGATACACTCAGCTTTACACGGGAGGTGCAGCCTGGCCTGGGTACCACACTCTCATGTTAAGCTTAAAGAATGCTTTAGAGGTTTAGTTCAATAAAACAAGAGTCAGTTTCTTTCAAGAAGCCTGGCCCAACCTGCCAAAAGGCAAAGTTCTTAAATGCCTAATATAATTCACGTCAGCTGAGATTAAGTGAGGCCAAAACAAACACTTCTTGCAGCAAGACTATACTTCCTTCTTATGCTTTTTGAATCTATCAGGCTAGCCTCTCAGATGTTGCTATTTTGATCTACATAATATTTTGAGTCATTAACTTAAAAGTCAGGTAATTTTATTAAACAAGCAAAGCCTGGGACCTAGAAATCTTCACAAGGAAGATGAACTTACCAGGAGATGGTAGACTTGGTCACATCAATAAACCAGGCTGCACTTGAACCCCTGTCTTTGCCCAGAAAAGCTTCCAATTCCCCATCCCTTAACTAGAAACATCCCTCAGGATTCAAATCTTTTCAGAGCTGCTCACCGAGACAAAAGTAAAACAGAGGCCACCTCCCCTCTGTGCCAGCTGCTCATTCTCTAGCCGCTGTTTCGCCAGCATCACCGACATCAGCGTTGGCAGAGCAGAGTGTTCCTCCTGCGGTTCCTTTGCTGTGCTGCCGTCTACCCCATACAGCGGCTGCTCCACTCGCCGCTGTAACACAGTCAAAAAAAATACAATGAACTTTTTTTTTTCTTTTTCTTCTTCTTCTTTTTTTTTTGTTTTTTAAAGGCAATTCTCTCCTCTGCCAAAACTGTTGTCAGCGAAGCAGCAGCTCAGGAATGGGCAGGCAGCACGGTGAGGATCTGATAACTCAATTGTTCCAATGGCAGACATCAAAAAGTAGATGAAGTTAACAATTAAAAGAACAACAACAAATGAACACACAGGACAGAATTCCATGTCAGTTAACACACATCCCCTTCTTTCGCAAATACACATGTTTCAGAGCCAGTAGGGCAAACCAGGTTGTAGATACAATAATCTTAGTGCATTGTGATTTTGGTCAATGCATTCAAAACTATGCTCCTCGAAAATTTCTAAGGACTCATTATAAAACAGCCAATGTCACGACACATTCGTCGTTCTGGTGAAGTAACCAGAGTCAGAACTGCGAGATGTCAGCAACCTAACCACGACAGGGCCCAGATATCACAACAAGCTGTCATTATAGCTGCGACCAATCTCCTGCAAGATAAGGAAAGTACTAATGCATTTTCAAAATCTTCTAAAGATGCCTAACAGCTCTTAAAGGCCACCTCCTTTCTCCTGCTGTAGACTCAATTTTCCATCCAACTACGATACAGGAACTGGGTTCAATAAGAGCAAGAATCATCTGAGCTACATTGATTACAACACTCAATCCTACTCCCTTTGCTTTAAAAGCCAGCCCATCACTGCTAAAACTTGGCAGTCTGGGTAATCATCATTCAAGTCCTTCTAGGATGTAACTCTGGGCCAGGCATCTGCCACACAGAAAGTCAACATTCAGGTCAGGCGTCACTTTTTCTTAAAAACCTAAATTGCAACCTGAAGCCCATTTTCTGGCTATCATTACAGATGTGACGAGCGTGCTTTCTTCCCCAAAAGATGCTTGTATATGAGAGCAACTGTGCAAGAGCCTGAAGACCTGCAGATCATTCTTCTGATCAAAGGAGATGCAAGGCATGGCAAAGCAAAGAGATTTGAAGACAAGAAGTAACATACTGAAGCCATTACAATTCCTCCTCAAGTTCTGATTGCAGAAATTTTCCAGTACAGTGTAGATTAACTCTCAGGTTTGGAGGAGGTTTGTCGATTGTGAAAGACATTTTAACACTCTGCTCTCTGCCTAGACCATACTGACATCTGTAATGGGCAAGATACTCAATCTTCTCCAATTTTCACTCATATCCCCCTGTTTTGCTGGCCCTAGCTCAAACCATTGATATTCGGTTTGTAAGAAGAGGACATATCTTGCAAATGCACTTGGTAGTTTGCCATGAATAAGCAAACATTACAAATTTAGCTGCAAGAGGAAAGAAACAGAAGATAAGAAACACCATGAGCACCCGCGTAAGGAGAGGCACAAACTGGCCCAGCTGAAACTGCCTCTAACATCAGTATTCGCCTCACGAGAAACGCTCTGTTCAAACTTTTATCTACTCGGTACATACAAGTGTAGAAGAAGAAAAACAAAGAAGGAATCCGCTCGTCCCATTATAAACCCCTGTAGGGTATCTCATCTGCCGGAATAAAGAACTGTCCCTAATGCCTCGCTGCAGCATTCAGAGATCCTATCTCTTTCATTAATTTCTCTTTAAAGAGATATATTAGTGAATTAATGTAAGATAAAAGGAAGGGCCATTCAATTAACAAGTTACATTTTAATTTTTACAAACACAAAAACTAGCAAGGAGCAGAGGCGAAGCTCTCCCTTACAGCAGCATTTCAAAGCTGCTGAAATCTAGCAACACGTATTGAGCTGGGAGCAGAGCATTCAGCGTTGGGATTTAGTTCAGAACACATTCATGAACTGTGCAAAGGTCTCTGCAGAATAATGTAATCAGTAAAGACTTTGCATTTGGTTGTCAGAATACCAACCTTTCCCACAATGCTCTGTACTTTTGTGACGCTCAGCAAATGCTGCAATTTTTTTAAAGGGAGACCCAGGCAACGGTCAAAACTAGAGATCAGACACCAGAGCCTTTGAATAGTGCTCTGCTAGTTGAAAGAAGTTTCTTTAGCTGCTCTGTGCTAAAACAGCTTAAAAATACTGATCATTTCTTCACATTCAGATCTTGCAGGTATGCTGTGACAGCAAAATGGAATTATGTAACAAACACCCAGCAACAGATGTGCATGTATACACATTTCTTTGCAAGTAGTTGCTAATGTTCCTTGCAAGTCACATGCACATAAACAGAAGTAAAAGACCTTCCCACTGCAACCCTGGTGTGCGTGTTTTTCACTATACCCAAAGTATCCAGTCCAAGTCAGAACATCACTCTACTAGTGCTATGCATACAAGGTACTCCCAACTCAGTGGAGACCTTCACGAGCTACAGTGGAATACAAGGGAACTGATACGTCAGTTCCACCTTTTATTAGGAACAACAATCTACCCATAACCACAGAGCATGCTAAAAACATTCACCCTGCATGCTTTAAGCTCAGATATTCTTATTAGTTACAACTGAATTAGTAGTTACATGGTCCTACATATCTCGCTTTGCTGTCAGTACTTAAGTTTCAGATTTATTTTTTTAAAAAAAGAGAAATGGCTACCTGCCCACGACAGGGAGGTTGGACTAGATGATCTCTAAGGTCCCTTCCAGCCTGTGCCATTCTATGATTCTATGAATAAGCCAAACCACTCACCAGGAGACAATTCTTTCCTGTCCAGAACCTTTTATTACCTGTCAGAAGCATGGGCACCAACCTAATCAACGCCATGCCAGCTCTGCCCCCCGGGAGAACACTTACCGGTAAGGGGTTGGATAAGGAATGCTGCGGTGACGACCTGGCGACGGGCGGCACGCTTCTACCGGGACTGGTTCCTGGGCCGCTTCCCCCAGCAAACTGGCCAAAGGAACAGATTTGATCGTCAGTAATTCCACAGTGATACTATATTTAAGCAAATTTAACAGAGAGAGAAGAAACATATTAACCTTAGAAATGAAGCCTTACAGGCTCTAGGGGCTCATTTAAACAAACTGAATATAAGCTAAGAGGAAAACCTTAACATTTTATGTGCTTTTTTTTCGAAAATAACAGCAAAAGTACTTCAAACATTCATATTGGCGCTGAGGAAGTTTTTCTTTTTAACATGGAAAAATATAAACCTGTACACTTGGATATAGATCAACTATTTAATGAGCAGAATTAGGAAGATTGCTCCCTGAGATGTGCCTGTGCACCCCAGGAACGGTGAGAAATGCAGACCTCCACTGAAGCATCGTGCCAGTCACCATTAAAGACAGAACAGGTAAGCAGCTGGGCAAGCAGTCTAATTGGTGCAGAAATTTTTATGTGTCTGTACCACACAGCGTACACATTTATAAATAACTTCAGATAGGAAACAAGTGCTACTAAGCACTTAATATCCAACTTTAAGTTATTCAGTAAAATAAAGAACAAACTTAAGAGAAAAGCTTGAGCTCTGGATTATGCAGACCTAGAAAAACTTCAGAGACTATGCAATAGAAGGAATATTGATTAGTATGTTCACCAGTGTTTTGGGGAGGGCTCGCTGTCTCCCACGGGGAGGCAGCCTCCCATGGCAAGCTTTTCTGAAGATGGAACGCTGTAAACAACTTCCTACTCGAATCAGCAGGACTTTGCAGATAGATTTTGTTTTGCAGCCCTGGACCTGTGTCAAGACAGGTTTGCACACTAGGAGATACCCTCATACGAGATCCAGCTTCCTGAAGAAATCAACCTTGAACCTATACTTATGTGTCTGCTCTTGTAAAAAAATTGCTTTATCAACTGTTCAAAGAAATGTTAATTTAAAAATCAACTTCCAAAGGTGTCCTATCCTCTACCTCATCATCACATTTGAGCGTATCACGTTAACATCATGGATCAATGACCCCGATGATGGATCGCTAACGGAAGTCACATTACAAACTTCTACCTATGGATTTTGCATAGTGTGAATTCAAGCAGATTTCTCAGACAATGTAAAGATGCTTACCTCAAAATAATCACTAATTTTATGTCCTCTAGGAGTGCCTTTTCCTAAAAAGGAAAACAAAGGATGAAAATAAGCGTTGATAGTTTTAAGTACAGAAGTTATGATGCCGTTCTGAAAAACTACTATATTTTGACACTCCTTTTCCTGTACAAAGGTGCAACACCTATCACAACAAAAACTTCTGCATGACAAAAGAGTGCCCCAGGGTTGCGGCTCTTGTGCTGTTGTTGGGAGGGTTTACACTTGACAATTCAATTAACTCTCAATTCAAAACATGTCAAATCCAATCAAACAGTATTTGCACTTGTTAAAGTACTTAGAAAACAGTAAACATCACTGAAGTTGCATAGGTTCTCCAAAACTCCCTTCAAGATAAGGCCAGAGCAAAGGGTTCTTTTACTCCTTCGCCTTCAGGTAAATTACTACACGTTAGATCTCTCTCAAGCATTCCTAGAATGAGTTAGAGACATAATTACTGGTGGCTTAATACCAGCTCATTAAATCTTAGTCCTTTTCTCTTATTATAATATTATCAAAGCAGCTCTGTCAACACGATCCTCGTTACTTTCTTACTGTAAGAATAAAAGAAATAGAAATCTGTCCCCATGTCCATTTGCAGGAAAATCTCAACTTGGACTGGAGCACACTGGATTTTCCCTAGCGCTCTGAGACAGTACTGCCTGCTTTATAGTCGAGTACAGTTTGTTCTCTATTTGTTATGGGGAGAACTTACTCTACCGAGGAAGGCATACATCTCAGAAAGCAAGGAAGAGAGTACAGCTTGTATTTTAAAAGTCTGGCTGCTATATATGTAGCGACGTGGGACCAAAACAACACTTCAGAGAAACCACATTAAGCCTTTGGGCAGTCTGTCCCATAAAAATGCGATAGTTTGCGCGAATGAGCTGAAGACGAGTATTTTCCTGCCAGTGAGGATAACAAGGCTCCCAGAAGAGAACTCCACCGTCATGGAGCAGTTTATAACAAGCTGCCTGACACACCCTTGAGAAGAGCCATTAGTTTCCTAGGACACTGACTGTGCAAAACGTGCACAAATTACCAACCGTTCAGAAATCCTGCAGCGGGGTCAGAAGAACGAATTACCTTGACTGGTCTCATATGCTTCTGCTTTCCGTTTTCTATTCCGCTGGTCATTCTGTTTTTTCTCAGGAGTCTGTCAAATAATACTTCAAAATTAACATTTCTGCAGTTATTCCAAGATTTAAAGAAAATGCCAAAACACAATAATCTGCTCCATATCCCCAGTGGCCGTTTCACTTTCCTGGTGCATTTGTTTCTACTGCTGGTACTTTAAGAAACAACTGCTCTCAAATAGCTGCTACCTACTGATGTATGTGCTGCAGAGAGGAGAGAACAGGGTTAAGAATGAGGTTAATTCTTCTTTTTTTTCCTATTTCAGCTGCAGCAAGCCAGCCTGTACCACCCAGCTACCTCACATGGTTAGAAGAACAAGTTCAAACACTTGTAAAAGACCAGTGTAAACCATTTTCCAGTGATCACGATACTGGTGCAAGAAGACTAACGACAAGCGGTTTGAGGACAGACATCCAAATTTGTGCTCCAGGGGCCACTCACAGCCTACCAGGACGATTCATCTTGCCTGCAGCTAATGCTTCTTCCCAAAGCCCTTTGCAGATGGCTGCAAGAACTATCCTCTCCCCCTGCGCACAGCTGTGACCTTACCCAAGACAAGGCAGAGCTCCCTGAGCTGGCAGCCCCAGAAAGCTGCCACAGCTGCAGCAGCTCGTCTGGACGTATCTCTCGTTCAAGGGACAAGTAGTTTGCATCTGCCGGTTCTGCAAGCGAGCAGCAACCCGAGGGGCAGCTCCACAGAGGACTGGAGCAATACAGGCCCAACACAGAGCATAGGTGGAAGGCTTGAAGCCTCCCAAAGTGTCAGGTCTGTCTGCCTGCACAAGGCTACCAAACCTTGACACGCGAGGGCAGAGAAGACCCTGGCACACCAGGGTCACTCGTGTGGCCGAACCTGCTGAAAACATCAGGAAGCACTGTGCTAGAAGCAGCTTACTGAAGTTGCTGGAAAGAAAGGTATTTTGTCATTTCCATCACCAACGTCATTTTAAAAACATCCCTTCTCCCAAAGGGTCTCAATTTCCAAGCTATAGACTTTACAATCACTGCAGCCACCACTAAACTGTAGCCTGGGGGCAGGAAGAAAACCACAGTGCGCAAAGCACAACTCTGGGGGAGGGAAAGCCATGGCCAGAGAGTTTGTGGTAAACCTAAGTTTCATGCTCTTTGGAAACCAAAGTCCAAAGTACCCTGTTTAAAGATCTCTGTCAAAGACTTGCACACAGTAAGCACAGAAATCAAACTATCCTTTTTATCCTATTAAAGGAGGTAAAGCTGACACAGCCAGAATCTAAACCTGGCTGTGTCCCCAGTGGATGCTGGACATCTACCGTCACCGACGTGTTATTGTTTTGGCAAGAGGATGGGGGGATGTTAAGACAAAGGTGGCTATTGTGTCTGCAAAGTACTTTTTAGAATGAGAGGACTGAAAACTCCATAGCAAGTCTAGACACTTGCTGTACCAGCCCCTGTATGTGTAAAAGTCAGCGGCACTGCCTCCTCACTGTGTAGTGAAGAGCAACTCCTGATCGGCGTTGGTGGGACTCTAACACCACAGGCTCCATTACAGCCTCCGGGGAACTGTACGCGTATTAATGAGGTTCAGTTTAAGTTGTTTTTCCATTCAAGTACTTACATAACAAAAATTACGCACAAAATTATCAGCTAAGGACTGAAAAAGCAAGGAACGGTAGCGTTGGTTACATCAGGTTGGTCAATTTAAGTCGCTCCACGGAAGTTCATAAAAACCCAAGTAAAACAAGAATGAATACTAAGTTTTCCACTATTATCTATAGCTACTTGTATGGAGTTTAAGGTACTAGATTCTTGAAAGACTTCACCGGGTACCTAATATCAGAACTGTCATATAATAGAGGGAAACAGGATCCAAAACTCACCTGATAACCATGTGGGAAGTTCTTTAAATGCATAAGAAAATGCATTTGAGATTTTAACATTGGATTTTAAAGTAAAAATGTAACTCTACAGTTCATTTTGCTGCTTTAGTAAGTGTTTTGAAATAGTTAATCCTAAAGCAGTGAGATTAAACAGGGACAAAGCATCAATTTTCACTTCCCCACACTGGTTCGTGAAAACACTACGCTTTGTACAGCCTTCTGCAAATTCACCTATTTCATAGGTAAGACAAACTTTTCCATTAATGCTCTCTGGCTTTTTATTTGGCCAAAACTGTATCCAGAACCAGCAAACAAAATCACAGTGCAGCTGAAAACAGTTTCACAGGCCTAGCTTTAGGAATGCTGGGTTTTGGGGGCTGGGTAAAATCTGTCTGCTGTGGTGGGAAGCTTCGAGGAGAAGTGTCTCACAGCATGGTCCAAGGACTCTAAAGTTAAGGTGCACACTAAATACCACCCCTAGTCCCTTTCACAGCCCGAGCAAGAACACCCTCACTCCCTCTCACACAGTTCCTTCCATGTTTTTGCATTCAGTCATGTTCACCTTAAACCCAATTATCCTGAGGATTTGTGCCTGCTTACCTCCAATTCTTTATCACTCAGAGAACCCACGCTGCACAAGCTCTGGTTGGAAGACTCACTATTTAATGGACCCTAGTGAAAAACAAGCAAAGACTGTTAGAAATAATTTCCATACAAGGCAGATACGTCCTATCAAACATTGCATCTCCGGGCTAACTACGCTGCTCTAAGTCACGTGGATACAGCAGCAACACGAGTCAAATACCCAGACACATGGTGGGGCACTAAAATACTTCCCCAGTCGTTTGGAGCAAGACAGAAGTTGGACTACCAGTCGAACGGCCTTTTCTCAGTAAAGTGATCCAACCTTTGCAATATTTCAGTGTCAGTTTATATCCTAACTGCTCTATTTAGCTGAGGCAGCATTCATAAAAAGTCTAGAACAACTGGTTTGTGAAAGGGAACTTCCGATGTGTTCAGTCGCAGTACTTCCAAGCTCAGCTCTTCAGGCAAGCATCTGCTTGACCCTGGGCTAAGAATTCTGAGGCATCTTCCATCTGGCAACGCAGCTCTTACTGTTACCAGATGCTGGCAGTAGCACTGATTTTTCTTGAAACGTGTATTTTTTTATCCTATTTTTAACACTCCGAAAGGGAACAAGGGAAAGCTGGGTTAACAGCAGTACAGCTGGCACCCATAAGACAATCTCTCCCACTAGGCTACTTTACGGACCCAGCGCTGACCTGCGACAGAGCAGCTGCTCCTGCCAAACTAAAGCAACAAATTCAAGGGCCTGGAATGGATTTACTGAAAGGGTATCCAAGTACCTACAAGAGTCTGCCTGCATCTTTGCAGGCTCCACTGGATAAACAGCCGCATTTTTACGTATCCAAGCAGCTTTGAAAATTGCTTTTTAAAATCTGTACCCAAACCGGTTTTAAAAGGAAAGAAAAGTGAATCATGCAAAGTCACTGTGTTTTAGCCTAGTGCTCTGACACAAAAGTATCCTCCTACAGATCTAACTTAAGAAATCTAGACGAATTTGACAAAGATATAAAAACAAGATTCACAATTGCTGATGGAATGCATTAACAGGAAGAATGACGTGATAAAGCCACCTCTCCATTAATAACTTGTGAGCATCTTTTCCCAAAGATTCATTCTATTTTAGCATCCTTATTTTTACAGTTACCACTACCCACCAATCAATCTTTCCTCAAGGCAAAGCCACTTCTCATTACATACTTGAGTAGAAGACTTATGAAAGGGGTGAGGGAGGGAGAAGCCTTAACACCACAGAGAAATCCCACAGTAGCTTATTTTTGAGGGGAGCAGCTCTCTTTCCTCCATTTACCATCAAATTAAACCTGTGACACAACCCAGCTGTTACTAACCCCAACTTCCAAGCCGGCATCCCCAGAAAAAGTTCTGATTATGTTCTGTATTGCACTGGGAATGTTAACTACCAAATTTGCTTCTCCTAAAAGGACATGCTTAGTTGCTTCAAAAAAAAACAAACCACAAGCCAAAATACCTGAACAGCTCGAGAAGCTACATCTTTAGCAGTCCCTTTTAGCAAATTACTTAGAGTATAAATTGGCAATTTTTCTTAAAGTTATAGCATTACCCCTTCATCTCATCACACCAATAGCTCAAGACCAGGAAGATATTTTACCACATCTCTTCAGCAATAGTTGTTCTTTAAATAAAGCAGCAAGCTCCCCACCACCCAGTGCGATGGCTCACTAATGCTATAGGCTACTCCCATCTTCTTCGTTATTCCAGGGATTTATTCCTTGGCCAACATAACTTAACAGAAGTGCCAACGCTAACCTTAGCTACGTCCACATGAAGGCCTCATCGATTAAAATAAAGTATAATATCTTATGGCAAGTGTTAACAGAAGGTTAATCTTTTTACCCATGTGAAAAGCTTGTTTATAAATTACACGAATGCTGTCTAAAATCCTTCTCCTCCTCTCATGAACTCAACCCGCAGCAGCACGTCCGAGACATCAACCTTCTGTGCAAGTGTGAAAGCTTCATTAGGTGCAGGAACGTCTCGACAAATTAGCATTTGCTCGTCTCAGATGGACGGGCTGAGCTTCTGACACGATGAAGACGAAAGTTTCCACATTCGCTCAAATCTCGCTGCCTCCATTTTGCACGAGGATAGCAAATGACAGGAGTAGCTGCTTTCAAAACGCCACATTTGAGCTTTTCAGGAACACTGGGGTTGAAAGGGTATGTCCGTGGCTTACAAAGGGCCAGCGTTTCAGTAATGAACCTGTATTCTGGGGTCACCTGAAGAAATAAACTGATGAGGCCATCTATAGTTAGAAATGATCCTAAGTTGTTTTCAGAAATACAAGTTTATCCACTTCAGCACAAAAAGAAAATAAAAATCCACTCAGTTTGCACCTGAATGTAAAGTTTTGGAGTACAAGCAGCCGGAAAAACATCTAATCCAAAATGGTTTTCTTACTTCCAGTACCACAAGGACCTGAACCAGCTATTCCGTGTGGGAAATTTACAGCTCTGACAGTTGGAATCAAACCCATTTTTTGCATCAACAAAAGAGCAGTTCAGTTCTGATCACAGACTCTCAAAAAAAAAAAAAAATCATGTTTTCCCTTTACTTTAAAACTTCCTCTAGAGATGACACAGTCAAAATCGTAAAATTTAACTCAATGCAATAGTAGAAAGGGTGAAAAGGTAGTAAGTACTTAGTTACGGGATGAGAAAAGAACAGTTTGTCAGATATCTAGAAGCATCCAGCAAGTTCACTGACATATGCATTGATACAGCAAACAAACGTGGAGTTAATTCTTTGTGGGCAAGTTTCTTGCTGATCTTCTAGATGACCTTTCCCTGACACTCCTCTTACAGGAAAGGATGAGGCCTATCTTACAGGCAATGAGCTGAAGCATCTTGTTCATGCCAAAGTTGGCCAAAAAAAAGCGCATTGTTTTGAGGTATTCTGGCTATGGAGATACAAATTGTTCATTGGAACATGCTGTACTCGAAGCAATAAAGATGCAGTCCCTAGGATGTTGAAGGAACACGGCCTAGTCCTCAGCTGCAGCTCTTCTCATGTAGTTAGGCAAGAGAAAGAAAAAAGCAAGTTTTCCTGATCATCCAGCTCGATGGCTGGTTTCGCATACAACCTCGTATGATCAACCGCTCAGAGCAACAGGTTTAGACAGTGGAGATGAGAAACTCTACATCTGAGCATCTCCCCCTCAACAGCCAGTGAGTGTGTGTATTAAAAAAACCCTTCAAATTTGTGTTTTATCATTCCTGATTGTTTATATTTAACTCGGCAACTGACACTGGATAAATGTGCGGTACTTAATTTAGCATACCATCGTAAGTGGTCATGACACAAAAGGAATTAAAGGAACAAACCTGAATTTTGGAAAAAAACCAAGCAAGCAACGTCAAAGATTACCAACACCAGAACATTGCTGAGAAAAGTGGCAGTAGGCAATAAAAAACACGCAACGGTTTACACACGAAGGGCTTATAAATTGTGTTCCTGAAGAAGTCATCTGCACTGGCATCTGGCTTTTCTAGCAGAGACTACTTTGGGATAATACCGCACTTCTCTGGTATCACTTACAGCCCACTCATCCACTGTACCCTGTCAAGAGAATTGGTGATGGGGCTCAGCAAAAATTCAAAATACGTGGGTCATCTGAAATAACCTAATAGTTTCTATAGTGTTTACCCAAATGACAAGCACAAGAACAGCACACACTTCCTCCTCCGCAAGGAATTTCTTCCTGAGATAAGCTGGCATGCTCTTTTCCCTTGTGATTCACCTATCAATTGCTGCTTCTGAGTCCGTGACCTACCTCTGCACAACAAAACCTCCGTGGTGAGAAGTGGATGCAACCGTAGCAGGCGCTTTCAAGACTCCTACTCAAAGGCAGGAATTTAAAATCTGTCCACTCACACGAGCTGGTTAGTCATTTCTCCCCCTCCAAGAGCCCTGGAAAGGCCACAAATGAGGCACAATGGCTGAAGTTTCAAGAGAAACAACTCAGCTCCATAATAGCTCCCATCGGATCTTCCGTAAGAAAGCCAGCCTGACTCAGAGCACCCTCACCTATCTCCTCTTCAAGCCCATCAGCTGCCTCGTATGACTTCTACATTTCCTCAGTCTCTCCAAGCTCCCCCAAATCGATCCCTCGGGTCTGCCGGCGACTCTCAGGTTGGGCAGTCTCCATTTTGTGCTCTCCAGCTCCTCGTCCTGAAAGGGAACTCTAGGAATTCCAGCTGCCTCGCCAGAATCTCCAGCCTGGACTTACAGCAACGTGCATTGCAAAATTCTCTCGCTAACTAAATGGCGGAGACATGCTTCATTACCTCAAGCCAAGGTAACCCGAGTTCTTGGGAATTCTGCAGCAAATCAAGAGATTTCAAAGGGAAAAAGTCAATCCTTAGTGCTGCTTCCGCGCAGGCTTAACTCAAAGTGAAACGGCCAAACGGTTCACCAGTTACTGTGGTCCAGCTCTACGGTGTAAGACAGGTTTAACATATTCTTATCCTGTTTCCAACAGCACGTAAGTATGAGAATTACAGCCTGCTTCTTAACTGGGCTTTTAAAAAAGCTCAGTATCACAGACAATAATGAATCCCCGAATCACCCGGGTCTTTTTGCCACGAGAAGTTAATCTACTGTCAGATGGTCACAGGTAACCTCCACCATATCAGATGGGTGAGCAGATCTGCAATAGGATTTGCTTGGCTTCCATTATGCCTCAAGAGTTCTCAGTCGAAAAAATAGTATTTTTATTTTACTGACGGCAAACTGGTCGGAAGGGTCACGCAATTCACCCTAACCCTCAGTTCAGGGGCAGAAATAGAACAGAGATCTGACAACTATTTCTGGGCTCTAGTAACCAGACAACATGTTTGAAATAAGTAATGTTGCACACAGAAGTATCCAAACAATTTTCAAGTATCTGGCTTAAAGTCCTGGCACACTCTGCTGATAAATTCAATTCTAAGTTTCAAAACTCTTATTTTTAGTTTTTCTGGTGACACATGACACCTGCTAAGGACTGTCACTCTGCAGCACCACTCTACTCCAAGGAAGACACAATTTTTCTCAAACACGCAATTCTCAACTTGGTAACTTTGCTGCTAAAAAGGTCACTCAGAAGGCCACACAGTTGGTAGTTACCGAACTGATCAAGTTCAGCAG